CGCCTGCGGAAAGGGGGTGCATGAGCACTCTTGCCTGTGTCGGTGCGTGCACGCACACACACACACACACACACACTCCTTCCATCTTCAGGACCCACAGGGATCATGGGAGGGGATTTGGTGTCTAGACTGTATAGATTCCTCAGGTTCCAGCCAAGAAAGAGCCAGTTACTGACTAACAGAGGAACTGATTTGTTTCCTGGGCTAAAAACAAACGTAGGAGTTCAGGGAACATGTGCACTAACACACACACACTAACACACAAAAACAGGTGGACACTAACACACAAAGACAGTCTAGATAGGATACCTGATGGCTCATATATAACAATAAAAATCAAAACTTTCTATGGTGTGTATTTTATAAAAAAATGAATCTCCTGTGAAGTCATTTGTATTTAAACTGGAATAGGCTGCAAAAAAAAAAAAAATCCCTATAATCAATTATGTTTTAGTAGTAGACAGTCCTGACCATATTTACCAGTGGAAACCACAGCCAGTAGGTGGCAGTAAAGCAGCTCAAAGGATGCAGGAGCTGTTGTTAGAAAAAAAATTTAGATACAAAATAATTAGCTTAAATTTGAACTTTAAAGGTGAACCAGTCAATATTTTGGTTTTATGTAAAGTGATTTTAAAATTTGTGATGGAAATATAATTTCACCATCACCAGTGCACTCAAATATATTCCTATTCTATTCTTATTCTCTATATTCTTATTCATAAAACAGGTTGGTATAAGGATCAATATTTAAATTGTGTTAAAACTATGTTGAAAAGGTACAAATGAACAGAACAGAACGGCTCCTTGATGTTCATACCTCAAATTAATTAAAAACTGAAACACATGCAGGAGAAACCACATGAATCTCTTTTCCTGAAACGTTTCCTCACGTTCTCTCTGCTCGTCAGACCCAGTAAAAATGCAAATACAAATGCAAAAACTATGCGGATGTCCTCTACCTTTACTCCTCACGTGGTAACGCACCTATAAAATACCTGAAGCTGCGCCAGGCCGGCCTGCAGGAATCAGCCCGGCAACAATTGTAGAACAGGTAAGAAGAAGAAAAGTCTTTTTATGCCTATACTGAAACCTATCCAAACATGAAACAACACGCAAGAGGTTCCTGCAATTTCTGCTGCCTTACTCATCTGCCTTATAACCACAGGTACAAGCTGCTCTATTTTGGTTTCTGACAGGTAAAAGGAGAAGTTAGGCAGTCATTTGGTCAACTTTTATAAAAGGCTGTGCAAAAAAAAATAAAACAAACATAAAAGTACAGCCATGACATGAATAACTATTTATTCATGGGGCTCTGAATGTTATTGTTAAAAATGTACACGGTGTTCTGTCACAGTATAATGTTATTTTCAAAACAAAAAGAGAGTTTCCAAATCGGGAGCCAGTTACTTAAAAAAACGAATTATTATATTTAAATGAAAAGGGTTTTTTTCCCGTAAAACGAATTAAAGCATTAGTTAGCAAAGCGGCCACTAGGGGGCAAATTTTCCTTGTCTTCCCTTGTAAACAAACCGAGGTTTTTAATGTGTTGCAGTTTTCCTTTTTCCTCAGTGGCAGAAAAACATAAGAGGCAGATTTATGTCTGATGCCAGGGTAAGTAAGACAATTGTCACAATTCTGTCAAAAAAGATTAGCAGTGATTACAGTAAAATAAAATATATTTCTAAAACAAATATGAAAATATCCTTTGTTTTCCTGCAGTTTGCTGAGATGGACAGACTGCCCATAAACGTGCACCATTTTCAAGAAGCTTTCAAAACAGGTTCACCTGTCCACCAGAAATTTTACAGCACCGGAAATTAAGTCACAGTGGAGTCATTTTTTAAAAGTCTAAAATCTCCACAGAACCAAATCAGCAGTCACTGACCTAAACCTAGATAACAATTCAAAATTAACATGTGCAAACGCTGCTTTTCTTGGCAGTCTTTCCAAAAAAAAAAGCACTATCCCGATCAGTCCCTTCAACGTGCTCACTGCGCTCTCTCCCCGGTGAGATCATCAACTCCCCACTGCAGCACACAGGGTGCCAAGAGCAGGGGCAGGTCTTTGCTTGCCCCTCACGGCCTCTTGTTTCTCTCCCAGGCAGCTGCACGCAGAGGTCTGAACCTGCCTGCTGTGAAGCCGTGTGGCGCTTTCAAGCCGAGTGTTAACTCGTTGGAGCTCACCAGGAAGTAAAGAAACATGCAGATGTGGAGTCATGTGTTGACGTTGCCCTCCTCTCTGACTGTGACTCACATCCTTCTCGTCGCGGGGGCAAAGAGGCAGCGAGGGAAAACAAACGCCACCTCTATCGCTGACCCTTCGACATATTCGACCCCATTTACCGGCAACGGCGCTTCGTTCTGTTTTTTTGACCTTCCCTGTCCTCTCCCCCTCTGTGTTACGCAAGACTTAAGAGTCAGTGGAAAGTCCTGCTGCCAAGACAATCACAGCCCTACAGACACATTTGGTAAACTTATCAGTTCAGCTGGACGCATGGCATGTGTTTGCATCTTCTTCTTTTTTTTTAATGAAAGAAAATATTTCAGGCTTTTCTCTAAAGTGTTTTTTTTTCCTGATTTTAAAATGATAAATGTCTTGAATGTATTGTGGGGTTAAAGCGGTGCAGTTGCAGGACTCCTGCCTGCCATTAGATGGCTCTGGGACTTCAAACCACCTCATCCCAGGTTTGGTCAGCATCCAGTGTAAAAACAGAATGATTTTCAGCCTAGCCCAACAGTTATGAATGCAAAGCTTCCAAAAAGAAACTGACATGTAATTACAGAAAGAAAAAAGTCTCTCGTTTATACTGTCCTTGGTCATACAGTAGGTAACCTGACCACCACACGGCCAACGGTAGTAAATAACAAACCAATGACTGCTGCATTGGTGGTAAATGGAATGATCTCATCATATTTATCTGCTCCGAAATTCCAACCAGGAAACACCCACTGCTCTACGTGGTCATAACTTTAAAGATACTCACAGTCCTGATTAAACATAAGCAGGTGAAGGGAGTGCAGTGAAGACAGAGTGTGGGAGGGACACTATGACATCACAATGTTGGATCATTCACAGGTTATCAAAGGGTCAACTAGTAGTAAACTGCCCAACAAGGTCAACTGCAGTGGTGCCTTTTACGTATGAATGCATCAGATTTTAAGATAAATTCCATAGATTAAAATACGGAAGATAACAAAATAGACATTTTAATAATATCACAATGTGATTGACCTCCAAATATTACTTCTACTCTGTGACTTTTTTGTCTTTTTTTTTTTTTTACATTGTCAGAAAATATTTATATCCAAAGTATCAAGTCACAAATAGGAGCCTTACGTTTTGTGGCTAATTTCTCCGTCGTTAACAGCCACAGCATCAGCGCACTTGTTTTTTACGACACATCGTAATTGGAACGTGTGACAGACTAACCCAACACGACTCTGCATTGTGAAATCTTTTTGATATTTTACTCAAATTAGACAAAGTCTTGCAATGTTGCAAAAATGACAAACAAAATATAAAAATAAAATAGGTTTTGACTTTCTTAGTTGTCTAGACTTTCTCAGTGACACAGCTAGCGTCAAACTCAGCTAAATGTGACACAGCTAGCTTCAAACTCAGCTAAACTCACTCAGCTCACTGTTGTACACACAACTACATATAAACTAGTAAAGAATGATTTGTATTTCCATTTCCAGTGGATGTACGTGTAATTAACTCCAACCCAAATATGTGGCATTCCTTTTACAGTTTCTTCCTGTATGTAATAATTCCTGAGAATCTCGGTCTGAGTTATCGTCACTTCACTAATGACAGCAGCTTAGCCATAACCCAACTGTGCCTGAGACACTACTTAGCCCCTTTATTACAAGTGGCTTCAGTTCAACACACAACAGAAGATTTATTCAAACCATGATCGTAAAACTACGACCTACATTGCTGGGGTTTTTTTTGTTTGTTTTTACGCAAGAATCACATTGTTAAGTAAAGACAGATAATAATGCCACCCAATACAAGCAACTTTTTTTTTTCTTACTTTGCCTGAGACGATGCCGCGTTGAGAAAATCACTTCAAGACATGTTTGTCTTTTTTAGCACAGGACAGGTCACGATCTCAACTGTGATTGTGTATTAAAGTAAACACTTTCTCTAGTTATGCAATCACTTGTTCAAGCCAGCAAGTTTCAGCTAGTGATGCAACCGCTTTTGGGTTTATTGTGCGTCTTTGCTCTAATACTTTCTAAGATGCATCTGTGAGATAATCATTTGCTCTCTCTCTCTCTGTGTGTCAGACACAGGATTACAGGACGCATGTAAAACTGAAATTATTTTTTTCCCTTACCGTGCACAGCAAAAACATTGCAGGACTGCGTCCCATGGCGTGATGATTCTCTCTTCCCACCCTTTATGAAGGCTGGCAGACTGGGTCTCCTCTGGTCCCCTGCAAACTTCCCCGGCTGCTGCCCCATAAGAGCAGAGTGCCAGGCCGCAGCCGGGACGCTCCAAGCTGAACTCAGAGGCTCACTCTCCAAGTGTTAGCCCCCCAGGCGGGGAGGGTAGCCCGGGTCCCGAACACTCAGCCCGTCCTCGTCTGGAGCGTATGTGACACGGTTCACTGATATGGGTTAGTTTTATTCCACTTTGCTTTGGATAATCATGCATTAATGGAGCCCGAGATCTGCATTGTTCAAAGGAAGTCTGCCCTGGGATATCTGTTAAAAAAACAAAAACACAATAAGTTAGTGGCAGATTCATTATAATTTAGTCAATTCATTAAAAAGGATGAGGTTAACTTCAATGCAACCTTTTTTGGCCTCTTCTGGTTAATATGTTAGTTTTTAGCAAGGTAGCTAGCAATGAGGGACATAACTTGTGTGTTGTGGTTTGGTTTTAAGTGAGGTTATTGTTTATGCTTATGTTTTTAAGGTTTGCGACTAGATTTTATTTTATTGTACCCATTGGTAAATGTCACTTTGTGTCTGATGAAGTTGTGTAGGTTGTTACTGACTTTTCATTGATTGTTAAATAGGTAAATATAAAAACAAAAATGGCATCTCTGCCTATATTAACGTACACGAAAAAGTCCGGTTTTGTTAAACTACAAAAAATATTCTGAATGAATCTGAGGCAAATTAAACAAAAATTTGTCTGGCAATGGACAATTATTTTTATTATTTCTTTACTTTATACCTAGTGATAATTGCAGAAGTACTTTTCTAAAAAAAAATCAGTATTGGTCATACTTCATATCACGCCACATCATTTACATGAATCGTCTGAATTCCACAGCTGCAAAGCCAATCATGTTCGTTAATAACATATTAAAGTCCAGGTGCTGCTGCAGCTCACAGACAGATCAGATCAGTTTGCGACACAGCAGTGCATTGAATGCGTCAAAAATCCAACCTGTTTTGTGAACTAATGTCACTGAAAGGCAATGGAGCGTTCACTATTGTTAGCTTTAACCCTATTGTCCCTGGACTAGTTGCGTTATTACAAAGCTTTGTAAAAAAAAACATTAACTCAATAAAGTGTGTGTAACATAGGATGGAGATAAATACACTTTAAATGTTTTTTCTAGAGTTATATTTTGGTTTTCGGTCGAGTGTCGTGAGGATCGGTGTGAGGTGAAAACTTACATGACTACAAAAACATGAATATTGTCCGTTATCAGGCGACCTCAGGCTAACGTTGGAAGTAGCCATGGAGGCTAACTAACGTTAGCTAGTGCTAATGCAGCGCCGGAGCATTAAATGCACACCGAGCAGTCAACAGTTGGCTGCGGCTCACTGGCTGCTCACAAGGCTCGGACAACAAGTGACACTTTAACACCGCGCAAAAGACATCCCCGACGAAGGCGGTTTGATACGCTTGCACCGCGCAGCCGAATAAAAGTTTGTTTCAAACTTCCGCGTCCACTCTCCTCGCCCTGGGGAGCTCCTTTCCCTGTGGTGCCCGCACTGAAGGCACTTCAATCAAGGAGGCGAAGAGAACGCGAGGAAAGTCCTCCGGCGACGGAGCCACGTCCCGCTCGGCTGCTCCTCTCCTCTGTTTACAGTCGCCGAGCTCTTCGTTGCCGAACCCTCGGCCCGCGGACTTATTCATTGCTCTCACGTGAAAATGTGAGTAATAAACTTTGGCCGAGTAGTAGTTGTGTGGCTGGGGCCGCCATACTTCATACGCAAGGTGGTTTACAGAAATATGTGGGTGGGACGACGTGTGACGTCACAAGCGTGCGTGGGCTAGTACTGGAGAACACAAGAAATATTTTTTATAATTCCTTCAGAAAACATTAATATGTAGATACAAATTTGGCAATATTACATCGAAACATGCATTTAAAATAGCATAGAAGCATTTAGAACTAGCTTAATTATGGCAGCTTTCCTTATTTTATTTGTTATAGTTTTTAAATCTTTATGGCAAATTTCAACATGTATCTTAGCAGTTGTGTATTACATTTTTTCTTAGTGTATCTGGTCAGGTTTTTTTTAAAACTAAATACATGGACTTAAAACCTAGAACGACATATGTAGGTGAACAAGGCAAACAAAAAAGCTTCTTGAAAATTGTGAAATATTTATTGTATTAAACAATTCTGTCTGGATAACAAAAATATTGAGTGTTCCAAAATTGGAAAGATCAAGTGATACGAGAATGCTGCGCTCCTTTAGGTACTGTATACTTCAACTAAATGATGCTTGGTGTGATCTTCTGGTTCAGTTTCCCCTTCCTAACCCTCCTGCTCCAGCAGCTTCTGTTGTGTCAACATTACAATCTCCTCCATCACTTCTGGTTTTAAGATGTCCTTCACCTGCAGAGAGTAGCAACAGCATTTACAACAACTTTATTATTTTATATTAAAATATTATGGCATATGCTAAAATGTGCAGTATTTATCAGCGACACTTAATTTCAGATTTTAAAATTATTTCTAAGCAGATTTACAAACACACCACTTTATGTTAAACTACACAGCAGGAAAAGTGGGTCTCTTAAAACAACCACCAGATGGCACAATACAATATTACAACGTTATACGTTTGTGTGAGGATGGATATAAGATCTATTTCATGCTTTTATCACATAAATTAATTGACTCTTATTTATTTGCCTCATACCTGATGCTGAAGTGAAGACTCATAACAGTAAAGAACACTGGTGTCATACAAGAGGACCTTGTGTGCAGCCAAAGCCAGTAGGCAGTTTCTTAACCGTGAAATAACTTCTCTGTCTGAAAGGTTAACAGGCTGAAGCGGGGGGAAAAAAATCATCAGAATGTACAGCAAAATACAAACAATGATTTTGGTTATAGAGCCATGAGAATTTCTCTGTCTACCTCCAAACTGGTGTAAAAGCCTCCAGCGTCTTCCTCCTGGTTTTCTGGTGTGGGATTCAACCAAACAAAACCATTGTTCCCCAGAATAATAGATGCCCCACAGGGCAGATTGTGGAAATGTGTTTTCTGTCTTTTGATCAGAGAAGGAGACAGTTGTACGAGCACTCCCTGACCCAACTAGGGGTTTGGAAAAAGGGGAAATAAGATGTTAAGGGAAAAACTGAAATGTCACATTAACCAAAAATTTAAAAAAAAAAATACATAAACTAATTCGACTTACTTTCCCATACTTTAAACTACGAGTGTGAAGAGAAAGGGCTCCATCGGCGAAGACTGACTGAACCTCTGCCTAAAATCGCAGGACAAAAATGACTGATACACACTGTCAAGAAAAGGGTGATTATGAGCTAATGAAAAAAACAAAAAAATTTACACTTATAAGATCCCCCTCCTGAAGGTATTCTCTCATGGTGAGCTCATCCTCTGCTGATCTTCTCCTCTAGATGATAAAATCAAATGAACTGTTAAATTAGAAAATTAAAAAGCTGGTTAATTAACATCTTCTAACCACTTACCAGCTCTCCTCCAGGCAGATTGACAGAAGACAAGAGAAGCACAGAGTCCAGTCTGGAGTTGGTCTCCACCTTCCAGCGTTTTTGTTGTACCTATTTTCAATAAGGTAAACAAAAAAAAAAATTAAAACCAAAAACTAGACGAACAAACAAAGATGTAGTAGAGTCACATAGTAATCGTCTCACTTCTGTTACCCTCCCAACCACAACGTCTCCAACCTCACCATTGAACCTAATTTTAAAAAACAAAAACATCATATGTTCCAAATACTTTTAGGTGTTTAATCTCATGCATGTAATGTATTTAGCACTTGGCGTTCACATCACCTACCTGGTCTTAAGTGGTCTGACACAGATGAGTTTGTCTACTCGCTGCACTTCTCCTGCCACTGATGCCGTCAGCTTTTCTTCATCAACGTAGGTGCCATGACCCCTGGGCAAAAACAAGGCATTCATTTTAGGAGCCAAATCAGTATCTGATAGAAAATAGCCATCTGCAGGTGAAGGATTTACTAGGAATCAAAAACAGCAGGAAGATGAGCAGACTCATTCTGCATGGTTGATCAAAACCTGGAGATATTTGAGTCTGGGGGTGTCAATGGTCTTCTTCACTGACAGCCATATAATAAGTATTTAAAGTAACGGTGAAACTGTTTTTCTTTTTTGTTTATTTTTAAAGACTTATTAATCTCCATTCTTACAAAAAAAACCCAAAACTTATCATGGCTAATCTTCACTTCAAATTTGGAGCATTGGAAAAATGTCCCAACGACATATGTAGGTGAACAAGGCAAACAAACAAAAAAAGCTTCTTACATATGTAGGTGAACAAGGCAAACAAAAAAGCTTCTTGAAAATTGTGAAATATTTATTGTATTAAACAATTCTGCCTGGATAACAAAAATATTGAGTGTTCCAAAATTGGAAAGATCAAGTGATACGAGAATGCTGCGCTCCTTTAGGTACTGTATACTTCAACTAAATGATGCTTGGTGTGATCTTCTGGTTCAGTTTCCCCTTCCTAACCCTCCTGCTCCAGCAGCTTCTGTTGTGTCAACATTACAATCTCCTCCATCACTTCTGGTTTTAAGATGTCCTTCACCTGCAGAGAGTAGCAACAGCATTTACAACAACTTTATTATTTTATATTAAAATATTATGGCGTATGCTAAAATGTGCAGTATTTATCAGCGACACTTAATTTCAGATTTTAAAATTATTTCTAAGCAGATTTACAAACACACCACTTTATGTTAAACTACACAGCAGGAAAAGTGGGTCTCTTAAAACAACCACCAGATGGCACAATACAATATTACAACGTTATACGTTTGTGTGAGGATGGATATAAGATCTATTTCATGCTTTTATCACATAAATTAATTGACTCTTATTTATTTGCCTCATACCTGATGCTGAAGTGAAGACTCATAACAGTAAAGAACACTGGTGTCATACAAGAGGACCTTGTGTGCAGCCAAAGCCAGTAGGCAGTTTCTTAACCGTGAAATAACTTCTCTGTCTGAAAGGTTAACAGGCTGAAGCGGGGGGAAAAAATGCATCAGAATGTACAGCAAAATACAAACAATGATTTTGGTTATAGAGCCATGAGAATTTCTCTGTCTACCTCCAAACTGGTGTAAAAGCCTCCAGCGTCTTCCTCCTGGTTTTCTGGTGTGGGATTCAACCAAACAAAACCATTGTTCCCCAGAATAATGGATGCCCCACAGGGCAGATTGTGGAAATGTGTTTTCTGTCTTTTGATCAGAGAAGGAGACAGTTGTACGAGCACTCCCTGACCCAACTAGGGGTTTGGAAAAAGGGGAAATAAGATGTTAAGGGAAAAACTGAAATGTCACATTAACCAAAAATTTAAAAAAAAAAATACATAAACTAATTCGACTTACTTTCCCATACTTTAAACTACGAGTGTGAAGAGAAAGGGCTCCATCGGCGAAGACTGACTGAACCTCTGCCTAAAATCGCAGGACAAAAATGACTGATACACACTGTCAAGAAAAGGGTGATTATGAGCTAATGAAAAAAACAAAAAAATTTACACTTATAAGATCCCCCTCCTGAAGGTATTCTCTCATGGTGAGCTCATCCTCTGCTGATCTTCTCCTCTAGATGATAAAATCAAATGAACTGTTAAATTAGAAAATTAAAAAGCTGGTTAATTAACATCTTCTAACCACTTACCAGCTCTCCTCCAGGCAGATTGACAGAAGACAAGAGAAGCACAGAGTCCAGTCTGGAGTTGGTCTCCACCTTCCAGCGTTTTTGTTGTACCTATTTTCAATAAGGTAAACAAAAAAAAAAATTAAAACCAAAAACTAGACGAACAAACAAAGATGTAGTAGAGTCACATAGTAATCGTCTCACTTCTGTTACCCTCCCAACCACAACGTCTCCAACCTCACCATTGAACCTAATTTTAAAAAACAAAAACATCATATGTTCCAAATACTTTTAGGTGTTTAATCTCATGCATGTAATGTATTTAGCACTTGGCGTTCACATCACCTACCTGGTCTTAAGTGGTCTGACACAGATGAGTTTGTCTACTCGCTGCACTTCTCCTGCCACTGATGCCGTCAGCTTTTCTTCATCAACGTAGGTGCCATGACCCCTGGGCAAAAACAAGGCATTCATTTTAGGAGCCAAATCAGTATCTGATAGAAAATAGCCGTCTGCAGGTGAAGGATTTACTAAGAATCAAAAACAGCAGGAAGATGAGCAGACTCATTCTGCATGGTTGATCAAAACCTAGAGATATTTGAGTCTAGGCAGTACAGCAGTATTTTAAAGAAACGTGAACACTTGAACACTTGTCAACACTTAAACCGTAAACCATGACACCTATATACTCCATAGTCAATAATGTTTTTGTTTTGGATGTTTGCGCCCTTTGTAAAAAAACATATTGCTTATTCAGGATTCACAATTAACTTCAATCGATTTTAGTTTTTTACTTTATAGTAAACAAATACCATTGGGAACGAGAGAATGTTTTAAGACGTAATGAATACGCAAAAAAAAAGAAAACACGTTGCCCGTTGTCATTGATTTCCATGTATGAAAACCACGAGATAAACAAAAGCAACAAACGCCAGTTCTCACCTCATATAACCGGTGTCTGAAGTGATAACATCGCCAGGAACGACGAGGTCTTTCCGTTCAAATGTAGATACCGACACGGGTTTTCGGATAGTTGGTAATCTCATATCAGCCGCCATGCTTCTTACTTTGGGTGAACTCTCTTCTTCGGTGCTTTTCCAATCTGGTGTGAGTGCTTTACCGCCACCTACTGGAATGTAATTTTCATTTCTTTTTTCAAACAGGAATCAACGCTTTAAAAAAGAAGAAGATTGATTGATGGTACAAAGAAAAAACAAATACGATAATTTGGACAATACTAGCGAATTGTTATCGCCTCGTTATTGTTGTCATGCTTTTTTATTCATTTTATTTGACTCCTGCATTTTTGTATTTTCTGTGATGTCGTCTATTTTGTCTTTGACTTTGTCTTTCTCTGTCGATGTGACCTGTACTTGAATAGTGAATAAATGGCACAATTCCTAAATTCCCCGAAGGAAATTCCCGAGGGATTCATCTATCTATCTATCTCATATAAAAGCAAATTTTGCAATGTAAAAAACCAAATGGCTTTAATGTTCAACAAAATGGTAGACAGCTTGGTCTGGTGGGCTAACAGTTTGACATTTGTATTTTTTATTTTTCTTTGTTTTCTGAAACAGTTTGATATAGTAAATGAATATAGTTTGTTTGGAATTAGATGTAATTATCGGGTTGAGGAATTGGGCGTAGTTTCACAAGGTCAAATAAGGCTAAGACCCTCCGATGTAACCCAAAAACGCTGGTTGGTTCGGCCCCGTTCTTAGGTTTAAACGTTTTCCTCTGTTTCAGTTCATTTTACAATTAATAGCTTTCATTTTACGCCGCTAGATGCCACTCTTGAAACACGCTGCTCTCAATGCCACAGAGGCTTCGCATAACGGAGCGGTGACGTCGAATGTCAACACGACGCAAACTTGTCCGTCGTAGCCAATCAGCGTCCAGCCTCACGGACTCTTGTAAAGATGGCGACGACGAGGCACAGAGGTGTTCAAAGTAAACGCTCTGCTTATAACAAACACCGCTCGTCTGGGAACCACAGGGACTGATACCACAGTGGCAGCGGACCTCTGTCGAACCCTTTGTCAGCGCCAGTACGCTGTTCGGCTCCGGGTACTTTCGTCCCGCGGCTGCGGTCTGTTGTTTTCGGTGTTACTGCAGTTGTTTCTCCGTCGGAGCATTAGCATCAAGTTGGGAGTCCAGCGCTAGCTGGGGGCTAACTGTGGAGCTCTGTCGGCTGATTGGATTTAACTGTGCGGCATCCATGGATTGAAAGCCTGGCGTGAGGCGAACACTTGACAATAAAAGTTTTTATTCATATTGAAACTGAAAGACACATGCATCTCTCGGATTAAAACTACTCCGGGTCGGGAATAAGGGCTACCGACGCGCTGGCATTGAAACACTGTTGGCAGTGACGAGACGCCGTCATGTATTTTCTCACCGGCTGGCCCCGAAGGCTGCTTTGTCCGCTGAGGAGCGAGGAAGAGCCCTTTCACATCCAGCCCAGCTGCCTGAGGTTTTACTTCGCCGTGTTGTCAGAGACGCAGCTCAGCGTTTGGTTCAGTCGGGTGAGTGGAGCCCGGTTACTCGGTTCATACTCAGATCACAGAGAAAAACAACACACGCAGCTGTGTCCTTTATTTTGTTTGGTAGCACACTTGGGTTTTAAAGGTCTGCTTTGCTTACTTCTCGTTTCTTTTGCATAAACAACTACGAACGTTCCGTGTTTGCAAACGCTATCCACCAACTCAAAAGCTCTCACTTTCTCTACAGATGACACACCTTTGTACTGTATTTGTGAGTCACATTAAATGAAAGGTTCCGTATATCCGTACACGTGTGCTCTATTATAAAGACAGCCTCACTGTACCTGTGTGATATTACCTCTCAGAAACACGTGATGTCTTTTGAATCTTCACACAAATTGTGACTAATCAGTGGAAACAGAAATTCAAGGGTTCTTTTCTATCATCTCTATGCACTCTCTGAGTTTAATATATTTTTGTTGCTCTTCTTAAATTCTACAATCCACATAACAATATAAGTGTCAGTACACATATATCAGTATATTTACCACTAATAATGATGTTAATATTGGAAAGTAACAAGTTTTATGCAACTGGTGTTTTTCTCTTAAAATATTTATTCATTGGTATCTGCATGAAAACATAAACAGACGCAGATGTTTCTACTAACGAGGTATGACAGTATGAGAACAGTGAAATATTGCGATATTTAGGTTCACGATACTGTATCAATATTCTTAAACACTATTTTTTTTCTCCCGTTGTTCCAGTATTAGTAACCTGATGTTAAGATGGAACAGCATTGTGCGTTTACTATGCTGACAGTTTTACTACAATTAAATTGGTTTAAAAAAATTCAATATATTACCTTAACTATAGTATTGCAATATCTTATTGTTGCCTCTGTATCGTAATACATGTCAAATTGCCAGATTCTTGCCAACACCTAACCCCTAGTTTCTACATTGTTAATTGTTTTCTTAACAGTTAAATGAACTAAGAAAATACTTATTTTTCCCAGCACTCACTACGTTTTTGTTTCACATCTAAACATTTCCCTCTAATTCAGTAACAAAGATGCAGTTTTTTTCCCCTCCAAGTAAAACCAATTTTTACTGTCTCATCAACAATGCACCCCTCTGCTTAAAAAAAGATCTTCAGCCAAGAAAGTCCTTTCATCAATGAGTTAATCATGAATTGAATTGATAACGTTCACAGTTAAATCTGGAAAATTGACTTCTTTTAAACTACTCCTCTAGAAAATGACTTCAGTGATTTAATTCCCTCTTTGATCTTGAACAAACGGACCAGTGACGTTTGGTCATTATGTTGTAAAACACTCAGTCATTCACAACAGCTGGCCACCCTCGGTGTGTGAGCGGTGACGCAATGAGAACCTGCAAGAAAACTGCATTGATTAATAATCAGTATCAGAATCAGCGTTACTGACCAGGTGTGACTGAAAGAACCGAAGGTTTTTTTTCCTTTTTCATTCTCCAACATCAGGCTTAAACAGGATCAGTTACAATAGTTGCACAACAAGCAACATGTTTGGTGTTTGTTAGAGAAGAAGTTGCTACAATGTCAACAGTACAAAATGGAACTGCAATTCTGTAAACTAGCGGCTTTCAGCCATTTTTGTACCGAGGACCAGTTGGTATCAGCCGTTACTGTGGACTGGTAATACCGCACCATTGTTAAAGGATGATTAATTTTCATAATAAAACATCTTTTAGACTTTCTTCTGTTAGTATTAGAGTCTGAATGACCTTTGACCTGTTGTTTTGAAACGATGACAGACTATCTTTGAATGAAACAAGTACAGGGATATGACTGGATTCTTTTTGAATGGAGTTCTAAAGTAGTAAACTGAATTACCCGATACCAAATTACCTACAGACCAGCACCAGTCCCCAGACTGGGGGTTGGGGACCCCTGCTGTAAAACACGAGTTAAATAAACCAATTTCCATAAATAGTCCATTGACCCCATTTAGCCTGAATTGGTGCGGAAAAACTGGACCTGCGACTTGTGTATTTATAATGCGTTGGCCACCGGGAAATCCAGTCTCTGGACCAGTAGGTAATGTAAACAGAATAGCAGTGAACTAGGCCAGAAATTATATATGTTTTAGAAAACTAAAAGGAGACACAATGAACAAAAACACACAGTCACTGTTTGCTATATTTAGATTTTCGTTTGAGTTATATTTCAACAAAACTTTCCTTTGTGGCCAAGACCAACGGCGCTGTTACACTGTCTCCAACAATAACAGCTGTTAAGGATGATCTGAACTATAAGAGAAAGGGAAAGCCACCCATTACACAGAAGAAGAAAAAAACTTACCAAAACCAGACTAGAAGCCCACGTCCAAAATGTAAACACTTGGTCTGTGATGTTGTTCCTGAAGAAATGAAAATATGAAAGGGTCCGGAGGCACAGGCTTTGATCAAGTCAAGAAGAAGTCACGATGCTGGATGTGGGACTGTGGTGTGTCCACTGATTGGCATCAGGACCAGCAGAGTATGATAGTACAGACACCACAGACCACACGACTGTGAGCCAGATCTGATCCCTGCAAAAAAAAAGAAAATATATACTTTGGCCTGTGGTGTACAAGGAATTTGACTCTGTTTTTTTCTCTCTTGTGATGTTAGGTTAGAAAAGCACTCAGAGAGGACAAGAATCTCTGATTAAAATGACATTAAATTGTCTTTGTGGTTGCGATAACTTATGGAGAACTTACAATAAATGCAAGGGTATCAGAAACAGGGCTGACAGTTTAATTTACGTTGTAGGGTTTCCTTAACTCTTGGCTTAAGCACTCATATAAAAAACACTGTTGATTGACACTATATTTAATTTGTGTGTTTTTGCTAGGTACAATTTCTGATAACTGTAATTGGGCGTTACTGTATTTAACCTTTTTGTTTATTTTGATACCCGTACCTCTTGCCTCTTCAAATAGTTTCTGTGCAGTTATTGTCCACGGTGGTTAGGCCTGGATTGTGCTTTCTTTGCATTAGAGATCTGCAGAGCCCACATAATTTTTATCGTATCATCTGTGTCTATCCACACAGGTCTTATAACAGTTTAATTGCAGCCCACTGCTGGCCTGTTTGCACTGACTAGAATGCTCCATGGAGCCAATCAATTTCCCCTATTTGGACAAGTTGGTGAGGGTTGGGGCGCTGCAGTTTTCGTCAAAAATATTGCTAATAAAGGATGGATGGACAAGTCTTTCTGTATAGGGGGAGGTTATATTAGGTGACACACACTCACACACATCTGTACAGCACATCTATAACCAACACACCGTATCTCCTTCTTCTTTTTCTTCATCCCCAAAACAAAGGAGCTCTTCCGCTCACCACTGTTCCTCCCCAGTGTTTGTTGACCTCTATGCTGCTATTTGAGACGCAAACAATATGCTGGACAATAACAACATCTGCCAAATGCTTAACTCTGGTCGACTCTCATTTTAACCACAGCTGAAACAGTAAGAATAGCGACATACATGTCTGCAAAACCCCAGCCTTTTCACAGATGTGTTTTTGCACCAGTTTAAACCTCCTGACATCACACACCACTACCATTACCATCACTTGACCTGTCCCTTTAACGCGGTCCGTGTGAAAGCCTGCTTCTATACTGTGTAGATGTGTAGACAATGGGTAAGTGTGGACGCTCTTGTTTCCTGAGGCCCACACAGGATGCAAGCCCATTCCCATTCCCACCCCCCCCACACACACACACCACTCCCCCACAAACCTCCTCCCCTTTTATCTTAAGAAGTTTGCGTTCCTGCGATTATCAATAAAGGCCTTGAGGAAGTGGTTTGTCACAGGAATGTCAATCAGAACAACAGAGACGTTTCCTCTTGACATGGACCTTTCACATCTGCTTTATCCATTTGTGTTGTTGCAGTTTATTGAGCACCTGCACTTGAGTTGACCCGAGGCCACCCACACTCTTTATTTCCTGAAAGAGAGGTCAGGAGATACTAATTGATAAGGGAGTTTAGAGAAATCTATTGATCTATTGTGTCACATTTAACAATTTAATATTTTCTTTTCTTCTTGGAGTGATAAAAATCCCTAAGAAGACCAAATATATAATCCATTGTGACTATCTCTGCATTATACCATATAGTTTTTAACCTTTACCTCCCCCATGTTGGGCAGTTCATATTTTGCATCGGTTTCATAGTGTAGCGGTAAGAACGCCTGCCTCAAAAGCAGAGAGCGTCCAGGGTTCTATTCCCAAAAGAATCATATACTTGGCGCCTCCAAGGGACAGCCTGTTGTACTAGATCTGCCGTTAACACAATAATTTCCCAAATAAGTGATCAATAAAGTTCAAATAATAATAATTATTATTATTATTTTGGATTTTTAATATTATTATTTATTATATTTAATTATTGACTATATTTGACAAATCCTACTCCAGGATAAGGCTGGGATTTCTGTAGGAACATTTATTTTTTTTCTTTCTTCAATCATCTCTTTACTGAAGTCATAAACTCCAGATGTAACTGATTTCTTTCAATCCGGTCTCTTCCTCCACTGTTTTCTATGCTGCCTGAGTACAAGCAGTTCAGTCGAGGCATTACCACTAATCCCTGTAATGTTCTGGTTCTGTCTTTATAACTGTGCTCTTGTCGCACTGTGTCACCGCTGGTTTAAGGAAAACGTCAAACTCAAAATGACCCAAAAGTTTTAATGTTTAAAAAGAGACAAATCTGATCTTTGTTTCAACACATCCCTCATTCAGCTGCAGATATGTGTGGGATGTACTTAAAGATTTGTCTTAATTACACCTGAAAGTGGCGAGGTCTCTGTGTGTCTGAGTGAGCTTCACCAACATTAACAGTTCTCAGAAAAAAGGAACTGTACAGTAGAAAATCTGTGCCTTCCTCATTTAAAGCCTGTCCATTCAAATAGTGACCCGGGGGCCTCACGTGGTCCACACAAAACCTCAGAGTGGCCCAGTTAGTGGTGATTTGTGAAACGTGGCCGAGCAATAGCAACCCACAATGCATCACTTGTTTGTCTGCAGATGTTTAACGTTTTCTCTTCATGTTTGAAATATGAAATGCTTTGTTAAACAAACAACTTTTTTAACATCATTTTTTTAGCCATTGAAAATGTTCAGCTGAGCTGAAATCCTCAATTTGAATATTTAGCCCAATTCATGAATCTATATTTGGGAACATTTTTCTCCTGTGTTGCTGTGATGTGAAAGTATATGCTGCTGGTGTTACGTAATCTAAAATATCCCCTCTCCTTCACACGTCTCTGTTCTCCTCCCACAGCCCAGCGTTTTAATTGTCAGCTACATCGAGTCTGCAAAAGCAGCGGCCCAGTTTGGTTTCTACCAAAAGGCAGAATGGAAACTGGACGACTCCATGATAGCTGTGGCGGTAAGTTCACCACACTTTCAGTTTTTCTTGTTGGTTCAATTTTATCACCTTTAAAAAAAACAAAAAACTAATGTGAACTGAAAGTCTCTTCGAAACGACTTGGCGCTGTAGCAGCGATGTTTCTCACCACCTTCATCCTGTAGGTCGGACGTCTTTGTCAGTCTTTTGAATTGATGAGTCACTTCTGTTAAATATGCACATGTCAAACTCAAGCCCCGCGGGCCGAATGTGGCCCGTCGAGTTATTTTGCGTGGCCCTCAGGAGTTTAAAAAGCATTTATTTGTCTGTGTTGCTTCAGAGCCAATATTGACCATACAGTGCATTTCATGATGATGATGCAAGATGCAAGAACCTTGGTTCGTTCATCATGATGATGATGCAAGATCTGAGCAGAGATCTACTTGGTTCGTTCAAGGACTTTCAGATATTCAGATGTGGGCCCTGGTGAGAATGAGTTTGAATCAATCCAACTGTTGCCTCTGAACTCATTTTGGTTCACGGGCTGCATACAACCTGATTACCGGACCAGTCCAATCATAACAAGTATATTAGATATGCATTATTATCATTGTTATTATTATGAATTTAAATGTAATTTCACAAAACATATCTTGTACATGAATGCCGGATTGAACACCTTATCGGGCCAGTTTTGGCCCACGGGCCGTATGTTTGACACAAAGGACAGAAGGATTCAGCACTGTAGTGTTGAAGCACTTACATAACTTAAAGCCTTGGGTCTGTGTTGACCTTATCTGCAGTATGTGCTTTGACATGGTGTAGATAACAGTCACCTGTTCTTCACTTACTCTACTCTGCTCCAACCAACATCATGGATTTCTAGTTTTTTTTCTTTCTCTCTACATACTCTCCTCAACTGTAGCCACTCTGATCTTCCACCCTCGGAATATTTGACGTAACATACAGTGACTACAATGGTGTAAATATGTTAATATGTTGATTTTCTGTCATCATCCTCTCCTCCTGTGGGTTACAAAGAGATACAGTGGTGCATTTGTGCCGCACTTCTCTGTAGAGCAGCAGCAGTTTGACCTATTTCTACTGTTGGGCTGAGCCCCAGATAGAAGGAAGACGATCCCAGTGCCTGTGAGGGCAGAACAGACGCCTCCGAGCTCTGCAGCATTTGTTGTCAGGTTCATAGAGACTGCAGTTATGAGGTTGTATGATCATAGTTTTTTTTTGTTTTTTTTAAATACTTAAAAATAGTGAATCGATGAGGAGTCACCAACGTGGTGCTGGCGTGGACTACCTTAAGGTGCCCTGGGGGAAAGTTCTAAAAATAAAAACTAGTCGATAACAGGGTCAAAAATGGTAATGTTACTGTGATGTTTAGATCAGTTACACATATTCAAACGTGGTTCTATTGTATGTCGCAGAACTTGACTCTGCAGCGTTAGTTTTCTTTTCGGATTATTATTACTTTGTTCGGCGAAGTCTATATCAAACGAGTAGCTCTTCGTATTAATAAGTATCCTTGAAGTAGCTCTCCAAGAGTTTCCAAGAAAGTTGCTGACCCCTGGAAAAAGCAATTGTTAATATTTTAAAATATAAATTCACAGTCTTGTTTTCTCTTTAGGGATGGGTTTTTTGTGTGTTTGTGTGTGGGAGAAAAGGAATTTTGACCCCTAAGCTAGACTTGTTTTGACTTGAATCGGCTCTACATGAAAAAGCCTGCCGCTCTAGAAAGACCTCATGTTTCTCCAGGATGTGATACTGACTCGACGACATGTTTAAAAATAAAAATGATCAAGTTAAGTAAAAAAAAAAAAGCCTCAGAGACAGGAACTGGGATAAAAAGTGCTCATTTGTTTTTAACTATCCTTTTACATTTTTTACATATATTGACACATATATTTTACATGGGACCAATATAACCAAAAGTCCTAAAAGAAATACACATGGTCCCAGAGTTTGTTTGTTTGTTAATGTGCAGAGTAGACATGTTTTTGTGAAGTTAAAAGCTGAGATAAAGGTGAAAAAATGGGCTGAAAAATGGCAACTTCACAACTTTACTTGAAAAGTATTTAGTGAAGTGAAGTAGTATTTACCTTAAAGTTGATCGTTTTGTCACGTGACCGACCGCCAGGTCTGTGTGTGACTGAACAAATCAATCTCAGTGTCAGACCGCACTCTGTTTTGAAATTGACTTCCCTCGGCTGACGGCCGGTGAGACATTCGATGACACTGTGTGGTCATTAGTTCGTCACATTTTTGTTTTTTCTCAAACTGTGGCCACTGTGGAAATTCTTCCTGCAAAATCAGTAAATGTCTGTACTTGTTATTGCTTTTTATGTTAATATATGTATATAAAAAAAAGAACCGTTTAAGGTGGAGTCATCCAATTCAACCCACAGCTTTATTTATATGCAAATCCCCAGCCCACAAAGGTCAAGAGATGTTTCTTTTATACAGACTGTATGCTCATTTCCATAGAGATGAATTTCCCTCTCATCACAGCAGCGTGTTTTCAGATTTATGCCCACGTGAGTTTATTAAGGTTACATGAGCTCCAGTCGTGCCCACAGGGAGATTATCTTGTTCATAACAGTTTCCCCTTCATTAGAATATGGAACGTATTCGTGGGAGACGGTTCGTACGTACAGCAAATGATTCTTTCTTTTATTCTCTCTAATCAAGTGTCACAGTTGAGTTGATCCGTCCTCGTCTTTATAGTAGATTTCCCACAGTTACTCTGATCAAATTCGGACCAAAGCTGATGTATAATAACCGAACTGCAGGTAATAAAAAAAAGAGAGTTAAGGTATCCTCCGCCGTCGCCGTATCTCTGAAGGCATCACTGCGTACATTACAGCTAGCTTTACCGTGAATGCAGTCATTTACTTCTCGGGATGGCATTTTAATTATGTCGGTGAAGAATGTGAATCACTCGTATCTCGTGTATTTCCTGTTAACGAGCCTCGTCTGTGCTCATCATCTAACGTCTTGATGCACGGTGCGATGAGAGAGAGGCAACAGACGGACGCTGCATCTGCTGTGCCAAACGAGGCAGACAAAGAGTTTGAGCGGTGGTTAACGTCAGGCGCTCGGCTTCTGATCGTCACTTAAAAACACACCAAAAAAATTACCAGTACAAGTGTCTCTAAAATGGACAAGTGAAGTGCAGGGGTTTGGTTTTCAGTGTATTTTAATGGCCTTAATTTCCCAAAGGAAAATAGGGATAAATAATAATAAAGATCCATCCATCTATCCATCCATCCATTCATCTATCCATCCATCCATCCGTCCATACATCCATTCATCTATCTATTTATCTATATAGCTATCCATCCATCCGTCTATCCATCCTCCGTCCGTCCTTCCATCTGTCCATCCATCCATCTGTCTATCCATCCATCCATCCATCTTCAACCAATTTTAAGTTGTGTTTTTCTATATTCTTCCGTGTTACCCCTCCCCCGCCCTCTCGGCGTTTTCTGTTCTTTAAATTATCGTATCATGATTGTTAGCCTAGCGGCCCGCAGCTGCTGAGAGAACTGCAAGGAGGAAGTGTCTCCTTCGGTAAACCCGACACACAAGACAAGTGCTCGAGTCAGCAGATAACAGAGTCGGTTCCCCCCACAGCCATGTGATCAGCAGCACACAGGAGACCACAGAAACAGAAGCAGACGCGTACAAGACAGAGCGAACACCCAATCGATTAATTACTGTCTTTATGGACTGGGGTGGAGCGTCTACGCCGTCTGGATCTTTATGTCCGAAAAATGAACCCAAACTGTTTTGACTGAAGCTTCAGTCAGGGTTTAAAAAGTACGTGGAGCTGTGTTGGAAATTCTGTGGAAACTCAACATCACGTAAACATACACACACAAATATATATATTTTTTCATGAAGTCCATTTGGGGTCAAGTAACTACGTAGTTTGTTACTATTTAAACATCTGTGTGCAAGCAGTCGCTTTAGGGCTGGAACTTTGTAGAAACTGTAGAGATTTACTGTATATGTGTATATATATGTATATGTATGTGGATATATGTATGTATATAATATATATTATATATGTATATATGTAAATATATAAAATACATACATATTTAAATATATACATACATATATGTATATATGTATGCATGCATATATTGTACGTATGTATGTATATATATGCATATACGTATGTATGTATGTATTTGTATGTATGTATGTATATGTATTTTTTTTTTCCCGAAAACTCTGTGTTTCTGTGTGAAAGTTTTCCAGGAGTACAGTCAAGGACAACACACTGTGTGTTTTAGCCACCCTATCTGACAGCTGAACATGTTTTCCCCACATCGTACCGCCGCATGTCCTTGCTGAGTTGCTAGTAATACGTTGAACGTGCCAAGTTTACATGCCTCCACGAGGAACAGATAAATGGAGTAATCACTTCTCCAGGTGTTCCCTCGTAAAACAGTATTCAGTATGTGTGTGTGTGTGTGTGAGACGCAGTAATGCACACAATAAATGCATTTCGAGCTCGGCAGCAATGCTGAATTGTTGACGTACTTTGCAGATTTACCCTCGTACGTCTTTACATCATACATTCCATAAAGTCAACACAGACGTGTTAAATTGATTTTTGAGTAATTGTTGTTATGAGAGAAAACAGAGGAGACGACCTCACGGTCTCCTGGTGTCCATCTTAACTTCTCTCTCTCTCTCTTTCTTTTTCCTCCCTCTTCATCCCTCACTCCTGAACTGCAGCCAAAACACATATAAGTGAATGTTGTGAACATGTCTGGAGAAGCAGTAAGTTGGGCTCTGGCCCAGACTCAGACAAACACAACAGGGAGCAGGTGCAGGAGGTACCTAAGTAGCCTATTTATAACCAAGGTTTCATATATTTCAGTTTGTTTGATAATGCGTTAATAATGCATGTGTTTCATAATGTCCTCTGGTATAATCTCTGTGGAATTATCTCCTGTTCTTTGTCACTGGCCTGTAAATTTGAGCTGTTATATATTCGCAAAAATCGTTGAGACCAT